GCTTGCACTGTGCAGGGGTAGGGAGAGGGTACCTGAATAGAGCCTATGTTAAACCACAAACCAAGCTTCAATTGATTTTAAAACATCAAAATACAAGGCATCATCCTCAGATTACAATCCTATAAAAAAAGAAATCAACCACAGGAAGAATAAGGGGGGGGTTGGGGCAGAGATCAAATATATGGAAACTGAAAAACTCCCTGTTTAAAAACAACTGGATACTAGAATAAACAAAAAAGTAAGAATTTAAAATTCCTTGAATTAAACAATAATGCAATCACAGCATAACAAAACTCTGTGGGATATGATGAACAAAGGAGAATTACAGCGAAAACTGGATACATCAAAAAGAAGAGTTACATCAACACCTTAACTCAATATCTCCAACAACTAGTAAAATCCGAGTTAAAAAAAACATATTCACCAAAAGAACAGAAATAACCAATATTTGAGTACTAATGAAAGAAAGAGAAAACAGAAAAACAGCTGAAGAAACAAGAAAGCAACAAGACTGAAGTTGGCTCTTTGAAAAGATTAATAAAATTGACAAATCACTAGCAAATTAACAAATGAAGGATTAAAATGTAAATAATATAATGAAAAAATGAAACCATCAATTTCACGACAGAAGCAACTGAAATAAAAAAATATGATAATAAATAAAATTTTAAAAGAATCGTATGAAGAAGCCTACTTCAACAATTTGAAAACATCGATGAAATGGACACATCTCTAGAAGCAAACTACCGAACCAAATGAACACAATCTGAACATTTGAACAGATCTACCCAAAAAGAAGGCATTGAACATAACATTAAAAACCTCACAACACGAACAAAAGTCCTGTCCTAGACTGCTTTGCTGACAAATTCTGCCAAACATTCAGAGAAAAGTTGATATCAATTTTACTCCTACTAATCCAGAACATAGAAAATGATAGAATATTATCATTTTCTATGAAACAAGGATACCCTTGTGACCCTGGCTAAGGCACCAATACAAATAGAAAATTATTGAGTAATAGATATTACTCATCAACATAAACAAACAAAAACTCATTGCCATTGAGTTGATGTCAACTCATAGAAACCCAACAGGACAGGAGGATTACCCTAACAG